TGTAGTTTTCTTTTCATTTTGTTTTCAGGTCCACCAGCGGCCGAGCGGTAAAGTCGCTGAACACTGGTAGTTCGGTCCGAGGTTCGAATCCCGCGAACGGGCTGGCTGCATGGGCGTTTTCGTGGTTTTCCCCATGTGTAACGTGTATACGAGCCAGTTTCTCTTAGAAAGTCCTCCACGAAGGCATCCCTCCCCTTAGGCAGATAGCCCTCGAGGCTTTGCCATAATCACACACACACATTTTGTTTTCAGTGTTTGAGTATTCTAACGCAAAACTATAATAAAAAGTGATCATTCCTAAGTTTTGCAAACTAATACATTAATTGCTCATAACGACCAATTTTAAACTGCAAAAGTTTAAATTAAATTATTCTAAACCATTTCCTACTTAGAATGATGAGCTCGGTAACAGACTTGCTGCCTTTCAGAAATAGCGCTCAGACGATATAATGGTTAGTGAGGCTGACTACCGTAGACCGATGGGCGCAAGTTCGAATCATGGAGAAGCCTTTCATGTTCGTAAGTGTATAATGTTTGTGCAGCAAGGCACGAGTGAGATTGAACGGCAAGACGAAAGTCTTCTTGAATGGTAGGTGGTAGGGAAAGAATGGCAGAAGAATCCTCGGCCAATCCCCTCCCAGGATGTTCTTCTTAAAAATCGGGGGAAAACTAAAGTTAGTGCGTAGGGACTATACCTGCACAAGCTACGGTGAAAAATCTGGTCTCCAGCCCACTTATACCTACACCTGTGCCTTTCAGAAATTAAACTACACTCACCGAAAAGTCGAAAATTCCTTATTCAATCCTGCTCGCACCTAAGTTAGAATTCTAAAACAGGAATTGGACGAAGTAATTGAAATATTTTTGGATAAATATAGGTAGTGATTCCAACAAAATAAACAAAACGATGAAATTCAATGACCTTCTACTCACAGCTTTCGGGCATCTTTTAGGCAAGTCCGATGCGTGCACGCATACGTAGTCCATTTCGTTTCATGAATCCGACGCACAATTTGTGCCCTCATTTGAAATCTGTAACTTTTTTTCGCAAAAAATTGTCGCTTTGAATTATTTTTATATTACAATAATTCCGATTGCTCTTTGCTCTTCAGTCCGCCTCTTCAATTTCCACTTTATATCAGGCCATTTTGCAGACTTGCCTTTCACGGCCTTCCTCAGTCGTGGCATTTTCAATAGGGTATTTTCTTCCTGTAACTAGTCTCGAATCGTTTTCTCAATTATAGGACAGCCAAACTTCAGCAGAAAGTTTTCCATTCACTTTTGCAAACTGGATCACTTTTGACTTCAACTCAACGCTATACAATAATTTTTTCTGTTCCATTTTTGGGCAAAACGTAACGGCGTATAACAGGAGTTTAACACGCAACGCCGCGTAAGCATTGTCGACAGTCTTTGACAGTCAGTTTCGTCTGTCGCAACTGCAATGAACGAAACCCCACGATTGACGTTTCCGTTGGCGGCGGCGCTACCGTTGTAAAATGCATCCAGTTGTTAAACACGGAATTTTTGAAGAAATGGAATATCTTATACATATGGAAATACGGTACATTTTTATTCAAAACAAAAGGAATACTCTGAAAATAACGGAAAAATAAACACCAAGAGAAATGAAGAAACTAAATTATAAATGATAATTAATAGCAATATTTACAACAGAACCTGAACAGCGTCCTTGAGTTCAAATTCTCGTAAAAAAGTGGGTTATAATGTTTTTTTAAATTGTAAAATGTTTATATATTCCAGACTGTGTTTCATTAAATCGATACTGTAGTTAAAAAAAAAAAGAAAAAGAAAAGACTCCCAAACACTGTAACAACATAGCCTGATATCACTGCTGTTATTTCACGCACTTTTCCTATCCTTCTTGCAGTTTCCGTAGATAGTTTTACATTACGCTGAAAGTGTAGTAATTATGTGTTAGCAATTTTTCCTTCGTTCTGCAATAAACAAACATAGCACTTTTTTTTTTTTTTTTTTTCTTTAATGCAATGCCCAGATAATCCGCCGACGGTTGATCTTGATCACTTCTTGATCCTTACTTTCACATAATGAATGCTAAATACTGCTGTGAGAAAAGGGGCGACCGTGATCACTACATTTGTGATTTAACAGACAGTGCACACCTGATAAGGCCTTGCGATAACATAGATAATACGTTATAAAGAATAGACAACTTATGTCCAAGATCAGATACGCATTTCTGCATAATCAGAGACTCCAACTGGATGCATTTAAGGTCTAACTATACTGCATCTTAATAGTTTACTTATAATTCAAATGCTCACAAAAATAATTTCTATACAATCTCACTCTCTTTCAAAGTGTATAATTGGAACTAATATATCCCCTGCAATTTTCCCACAAAAAAAAAAAAAAAAAAAAAAAAAAAAAAAAAAATCTTCCAGCAATTCACACACCCCCATAATGCATTGCTGATGGATAAAGCCTTAGAAACGACATTTGAACGAACATTTTGAATTTTGGATTCGGATAGTCAAACGCCTCCCTTGCCTAAGTTTTCAAGGATTATCTCTTATCCGCATTACTTTTCTATGCTACTGTATTCACCTCCACTCAATCGGTATAGTACTTAGTGACGTTGACTGCCGTTAGAGTCCGGTTCGAATCCCGGAAAAAGATGGATATTTGTACGCATATGGTATCTGTGAGGCAAGGGGCACTCAAAAAGTTCTCTCAGTAGGTTGATGATAGGAAAAGAGTAGTGGGAGCATTAGGTTCAGCAGACCTAAATCATTTGACGTAGTACAGAGGTGTTGGTCTAGTTTCTACTTGTACCTGTGGAAACTGATGTACTGCTTCTGAATATTTATTGCTTTTTTATTCGTTTCAACAGAAAACTTCACAATGTAACTAAATCTGTTTCATTCATAGCCTCAGGATTACTTGTTTCTCGTTCTCGCTTTTTTATTTTTATTTTTTTTATTTTTTATTTTTTATTTATTTTTTTTTTTTCTATTATTCATTGGTATGAATGCTATTCTGTACGCTTTACAGCAACACTCAAAATATAATATCCACTGGTGACTGAGTGGATAAGACTGACAAAATGAATTTGGTTCCCGGCGAATGAGCTGACTGCAAGGGCTTTTCACAGTTTCTCTATGTGTAACATAAACGCGAGATAGTTTCCTTAAAACAGTACAGCAAAATAGAATCATCCTTAAAACAAATAAGCTTCGCGTACTTTGTTGTAAGCAATCAACCAATCAATCAAAATAATAATATTTGGTCAAATTATGAGACACTGATTGGAAAGGCAATCCACATGCCATTACTCATAGCTTCTGTATTCAAGAATTAAGGGAAAAAATATTAGCAGACGGTTATTATTATAGAGCCTTTCAATGAAAATTTCCAAATGTTAAGATAATTGATGTAATGATTCAGCCCCCAAATTGTACGATAAAATAATTTTTGTTTTTCCGACTCTATTCCGACATTCAAATGCCAGTTAGGGAAGAAATATATATTTTAATGATAAATAAATTTCCTTTGCTTTTAATTATTTTTATTATTATTATTTATAATCATCCTACAGAATAAGCTAACTGCATGAATGCTTTCGTGGTTTTCCTCATACATAACGTACTAACTTAAATATCAACCAGTTTCTCTTAGGAAGCCCTCGGCGAAGACATTCCTCCCTTAACAAATAGTCCATTTGTTGCTTTGTGACATTCTATTCCATTAAACAAACAGTCTTTAATAGTACTTCTATTAATGGCAATAGCAGTTCAGTAGCAAGTGAGACTTTCTACTAAAAGTAATTTTTACGGAATACAGACTTCTTAACATATGTTATACCACACTTCTTAGCATATGTTGCCGCACTGCAGTTGTACGTGATAGTGTACAGAAGTCTCAGAGCAGTGTTTAATTTCACGTTGAGTATAATTTGAGGCTGCTTGTTTGTTGTTGTTGATCAATGCTCACTTGTCTGACCTACAGTCAGCCCAAGCCTACGATATTCCTCGTGGCGAGGAGCGCAAGATTACGCCTGTCGTTGGCAACAGCCTTGAGCACCATATAAGGGATAGAGCGATTTAGCTCAGTTCCGCCCCCAATTTGGATGACGAGCACCCCGGGGGGACAGGTGCGAAGGTCTTCCAACATTCTCCCCCTACCACCAACCTAGCGAGAGGACTTTCGGCTCGCCCTGTATTTAAAGTGCCCCCATGCCTCACGAACACTTTACATTTACAAAACATCCACGCTTTTTCCAAGATTCGAACCCGGGCCCTTCGGTACGGCAGCCAGCGACGCTAACCACTATACCGGCTGGGCAGCAGGCTGCTTAGTTAAGATGCTTGCTGTTATGAGAAGTCGCCAAGCTGTTATGGCTGTATTGCTATTGTTCCAGAAAGCCCAGTACTGGTTTTACTGTTGGTCGCAGGAGCTACGGGCCGTCATTCCTTTTGTTTTACGTTATACTACCTTACTGTTAAGTTTAATAAAGGTTCTGTTTGTTGCAGAGTTTCGTTGCCTAGATTATTTTATTTCTAGATTCAAGCATACGAGTCCGACGGTACCTGCCCTCTGCTTTCATATTAGTCATATTCCAAGAATAGCTAACTTTCATCGGGGCAACATTTTTAACTCAGAAGAACTGGGACGATAAATGATTTAATTCAAAAAAGTGTGAACTAAAAAGCAAAGCAATATCCATCGTTTAACGCAAACTCAGCAAAACTTTTACTAAGAAAAATCGCCTTTTAAAAACTTTTTTCCTAAAAAGGTAAGACTTTCTTTCTGCAATATTTATTTAAAGTAATAGAAAATTATTCAGAGCCAAGGACATAGGTAAGATTTCGATGAAATGATGACACTGGCATAGTATCGACACCGCCATACTACCGATAATAGTTGATCCACTGTCGTATTCCTCATTAGTGCAGCTTCTTGATAAAAGCAATTCCTCATTCCATTCCTGAAAGAATTTTTATTTATGTATTTCTTAGGGTGACAGTGGTGGCCCTCTCGTCTGCGAAATCGACAAAGTCTGGAGGATCGTTGGAGTGGCGAGCTATGTGACAGATGGCACAGGATTAGAAGGCCTCTGCGGGCTCAAAGGACGGCCAAGTGTCTTCAACAAGGTGGCTGTGAAGACTGGCTGGATCCGAAGAATGGTGAATCGTTACAGCTGAGCTTAAAAAAATGGTGGCTGAAGACAAACTGGATCAATTGTATTTTATCCTAGATTATACATTTCTGGGAAATAAATAGACTTTGTTCCTTTGTTTTAATTGGACTAAATCATAAAAATATGATTCATTCAATAAATACAGGCTATTATGGCATACTTGGAAATGACATTTTTGCTACTAGAGCTAATTATTTTTGTATTTACCTAAGGAGTAACTTATCGTATTCATTTAAAACATTAAGGCAAAATTTTAAAGCAAATAAAATATTTATAGTTATATTGTCGTGACTATTAATAACTGCCATTGACAATATTCAATAAAATAACTACGCTGGGTTTATTTTCATTATGCTTAACACTAGCATTGTAACTTTCAAATTCGAAAAAATGACACTGTCTATCAAATTCACTTTATACTATGTTCAATGTATAGTACCTGAAATCATAAAAGGATCTGTTATATCAATTTATTTTCGAAAATTTGCATAGATACCTAAATATACCAAAATCCATCGAAATAACAGGATTAATAATTTTTAGGTCATCGCAACTCATACTTTAGGAAAAGTTTCCGACAACATTACATTCATTTTACACTATATGGTAATTTATTTTCAGATATTCTGTACATCTTATGTATAAAAATAGTACCATTTATACGAATCTTTCCCAAACATTTAAACGTTGCGATTTAACGCGACTCACACGCATATAGAAATTTTGATGAGGTAAGAGAGGGAAATAAGGTTTCAGGAAGAAATTAAATATAATAATGAAATATTAACAATTATAAGAAAAAAATATCAAAACGTTTCGCAATACCCACTTATTGCCAACCACTGATTTACACTATCAGCTGCTTTCCATCAGTTTTCCCCTTCAAATTCATCAACAGTGCAGAATATTCAGACACCCAGATAACTTTACGAGAATATTTTTTTCCTACTGAGGTCACTCACTGCCATAAACGATAAACAACTGATTTTTGAGCGGTTTATTTCCTTTGCACGAGTAATTTCTCTTATTTAATGTCCAGTTGAGATTTGAATTTTGAAAATATTTTCAGAATAAATTGCATTGATATGTCTTCATATCCTACTATCCACAAAATCAGGTAGTCTTAAATAGGGTTCCGAAAAATACTAAATGACTGGAAAAAGTAAATAACGTATATGATATTTGGTCCGACACTTACTCGTGCAGAAATGAAATTAAAACTCTAATCAATTTTCAGAGTAAACAGAGACTTTCTCATAAAATAGCATGAATTCTGAAGAGTACAAATGTAACACACAGCACGCATATTTATTCCAACCAGTGCTCAACAAACGCAAATTATGTCAAGCTAACAAGCAAGATCTGACAGCCTTGAACTCTCAATATTTTCTGAAATATATATATCTGTAAAACTGATAAAATATAGCTGCAAAAATAAGCAAATAAAATTATTAAAATCATATTGATCAATATTGATCTCTGGCGATGCACTGCTACTTCAATTTGTCAAAATAGCAAAATGATTCCAAGTCAGTCTGGCAAAGTAATGTTACCATTACTTTGAATATCAGCAAAGATGATGTACATGACATGATCAGATGCCTTTTTGTTTCCTCTGCGTTTATGTTGCTGCTTGCTTCTTCAGCATTTTTGTCGGATGTTTCATTGCCTATCAGGCTTGAGTGTGCTCTGACCCATACTAGTACTATATGCTTATGGGTACTGCATTGAAGAAGATGTTGTGTATTATTGACAATGAATGGAGAGGAGTGGTTATGATTTAAGACTGCCAGAAAATTGGAAATGCTGTCTGAGTAAACAGTGACGGAAAGAAAGGGCGAAACCTGAGCGTATTTTTCAATACCCTCTGTTATGGCTAGGGCTTCTTCCTGGAAAATGCTGTTCCAGGCTTGTAGACAACTCTTCCAACTGTGAATTGTACATTGCCGTCGAACGTAAAATGGCGTTGCCTACTCCATGGAAGTTCTTGGAAGCATCCCTAAAGATGGCGAGGTCTCCTCTTTGTGTGTGTTGACGGTGCCGATTGCTTTTGATCTCAACATGTGTGCCCAAGCTAGTGAGCCCTGGGTGCGTCAGTATGGAGTTGACAGGGTGTTCATAATGCATTGGGTTGAACGTTACATCACCTGCACTGGCATCCTTTCTTAGCTGTACAATCCTGGTGTAGATGGCCTCCTGTTCTGCTCGAATATGGAGGGGAATCAATTTTGAGAGGAATATGGCGGTGTTGATAGCTGCTACCCTGTATGCCTTACACAGGTTTGGAGACATGTGAGCAGTTGGTTTTGTTTTCTGCCCCTCATTGGCGGAGCTCAGGTGGCAGCTGCATAAAAATGATCTCAATAAAAACTGGGCTAGAGCATTTTTCGCCTTGTGTAGATTTTGTCCCCATATCGTGCATTGTAATTGGCAAGCCTTCCGTGCTATGGCTGTTTTAATTGTTAAGTAGTACAGGTGAAGGACTCATGTCTGTCCTTTATCACATGGTATTTTAATTCTTGGACGATGTGATGTTCTCCCCCCAGGCTTGATGCATGGCTTTGCTGTGGGGTTAGTAGGCTTAGGGATTAACAGGCCAGTTGATTTCTCTGTAGAAATCTCCAATTTGAGTTTATGGCATAGGGCTGTAAATTGAGTACAAGTGTTGGTCTTCCTTTCTCCGAATTCGTCCTGAGTGCTTCCTATGACGAGGAATGCCGCCTCATCCTTGTTGGGCATCGAGCTGTTCTGAGGGCTTGTTTGATAATAGGCCACAAAACCGTGCCGAAGGCCCTTCTGTTCTGAGGCCCGAAGGTCTGAGATCAATTTAGAGGAAGTCTGTGTGGAGCTGTTGTGTCCTGTTGAATTTAATATTGCAGCGTATCTCTTTCAGAGCTTGTAGAATAGAGAGTCTAGGTCTAAAACCATACAATAATGAGCTAATGGAAGTTAATGACTTAAGTTGTACTAAGAATTTTTGGTACACCTTACCTAGGGCTGGAAGTAGGCAGATGGGACATAGGCATAGACTCCAACCTTCAGCAAACCTTGTCAGTAGTCAACGCGCGAACGACATTTTTACAACTTTGAAAATGTGCGCGTAGCGTATGTTGTAATTAACCATTCATTAATTTTAAATTAATAATTAATTGTAATCAATTTTATTACATTTTTTAAAATCCATATACATATAAAACTGAATAATTAAAAATATACCTTGTAAATTATATGCACATTTAATTAGAAATTTTCTTTTAACTCCTCAAGCATTCACTAATAAAAAAAGTACTTCAAATCACTACTAATCATAGAAAAAATCAGAAGCTATAAATCATATCTTTATTCTGGATATGATTTCTACAGGGAAATAAAATTTAAATAACCAAGAATGATACATATAAGTATTAAACAAAATACGCATAATTTATGAATGCAAAGATTTATATGTAGCATGCTTAGCAAAGCTTAAGTTCTGATTTTGAGAATGTTTTTTTTATAACACAGTTCTTCATTTGCCTGCATATTTATTTTTTCAATCAAAACTGCTTCAAGAGTTTTAAGACCTAAATTTGGTCGAAAATTCCGTCTGATTTTTTTTTAACAATAGAAAAAAATTCTTTCGCAAGCTGCATTTGAATGAGGGTATTATTAAGACAGCAAGCATTACAGAAGGCAATACTTTGTATTAATACACCCATTCATATTTTTTAATTTGGCAATTTCTCCCCATGCTATATCAATACGCAAATCTACAATTTCTTTCAAATCATCTACTTGATACATGGAAAAAAATCAATTTCTACTTGATTAAGACATTTTTCATCAATAATGGATGGAAAAGTATTCATCAAGTAAAGAAACAGATGAAAATGAGACTTCAGTTCTCAAGTTGATGTCAGCAACTTCAGCATGTTTTAGAAATGGATCACTCAGTGGAAATTATACAATTATATATGAACATGCAGTTACAAAAAAAGCTCGCACAGAATTGAAAAAATGATTTCACTTCACTTTCATTCAACTTGGCATTTTTTAAATATAGTCTGTTTCCGCACCAATCACTAAATTTTCATTTTCTTTTTTTTTACTATACTTCTGAAATGGAATAGACGTTAGAGTAACATCTTCATTTTCTTTAGAAATTACTGATGGTTTTACGAATCTAACAAATAAATTCATTAAAAGTTCAAAAGGTTCTCTTCTCAATTTATGTATATAAGGAGCTTGTTGTTGCAAATTAATATTTACTGTTATAAACAAAGGCAAAGTATTTTTCAAAAATAACAAGTACAATTTGGTGGTCGGGTGACTGTAAAATTTTTTTAATGTTTTGCAATCTCTTTCCTTCATTCTCACTGTTATCTGGTTTATCTCCAAAAAAAAATTATCACAGCATCCCACTGTTCCAAAATCCTTGTTATAGATTTTAAAAGAGACAACCATCTCGTACTGCAAATATTTCAAAATTTTATGAGATTTTGCATTCTGTCCCAAAATTTGTTGAGCAACTTTGAAGCTATGCTTCCGTTTCGAACTTTTCTCCAAGTAAAAAATATATATCTATATCAACATTTCAATTTCTGAGCCAATTAATTTTTCAGTAGCTTTTTTGCAGCTATATGCAAGAGGTGGCACGGACAACCTCGGGTTGATTATACTTGGTTGATGCATTTTGATAAATGATGCTGCTACACCTTTAAACTTTCCAATCATATTACTAGCATTATCTGAAGAAAATGATAAGCAATTTTTCCATTCTAAACCTTTGTTTTTAAAGTTTTCATTTATACAATTAAAAATACCTTCTCCTGTATTATTCGTGCATTCTAAAATAGAAATCAATGAAGTAATTATAACTCCTTTTCTTTACTGTAGTATGTTATAACCAATGGGTACAGTTTGTTATCATTGTTATCATTACTTCCATCAGTACTTAGAGAAAATGATGTACTGCACACTGATTTTATAATATCAGCAACAGTATTTTCTGCAAGCGTTTTCACAATAGCAGCAGTTTTGGTATGACCGCAGCTAAATTTTTTTTTGCTATGCAGCAGAATCCGGAAACATTGCTTTGAAAAGCTCTTTGGAATGATCCGAAAC